CGTGCCATCAATAAAATGCCTTATTAAAGCCGTACATCCGTTCGGTTCAAAAGTGCCTTGTTTGATGTTTGATGTTTCTTGCCTCGGTTCGGCGGTTCGCCTGCAGCACTAGATTAAATTGTGTTTATTGTTTTAATTTACTGTGCATTAAAGTTTAATAGGTAAAGTCAAACACCAGAGATAAGTATAAAACCCGACATGTTTGTTTTTCCAACAAGAATTTTGTGAAGCCACAAAGTATTCAAAGAGTACAAAAGAATGGTACGTACAAAACATATTGCAACGTGCACGCATGTACTATTGACTTCAAGAAAAAGATGTACTTGTATCCTTAAATCGTGCAGGTGCAGCTTCGAAGTAGAAAGCGCGTAGTTCGCGTACATGTCTTCCTCGATCCTACACATGAAAACCTGCGAGCGTGCAATGCCGAGTCCCAGCTTGTGCACACGGGCAAAAAAAAAGGTTTTATCTGTAACTACATGTTGGCGAACGGAACACTACGTCGTGAATGATTCAGGTAAGTACTATTTCGAGTTAGTATATTTGATTCTGCAGGTATACAGTTTGGTGTGTATTTAACTCGGGATACCGAGACAAAATATCAAGATTACAGGGTATTGAGACCTGAAAAGACTGGGTCTGGAAACTGACAGCGCAATACAACTACTCAATACACGTGTTTTATCAGAAAGTTAAAACAGTCTGCCGATCTAAATCCTCCTGTGGAGCTGCAAAGTAAAGAGCTATTGTTATGACTAATCCACCAGACCGTAGAAGTCTATGATGCCGTAATGCGATGAGCTGTCCATTGTTTACTGGAAGCTGCAGAGTGCAAGGTGTACTCGACCGCAACAGTTTGGCCAGCCTCACTGAAGCGTTCGTCCGTTCGATGTTGACCGTCCGTGAGGCTTACCGTTTACAAAGCGTTCGACGCTTTCAAAAGCGTTTGTATTTTGACCTCATGCCTAAACAAACCATGATTTCTCTCTTCAAAATGGATAGAATGTGAATCTAGAACCTCAAAGAAGTGCATGCCAAACAAAACCTGAATGATTAAACCGATTAACAATCCAGAATTTGGGGGGTCAAAAATCCTATAATTGTGAAATAACCTTAGAAACCACATTTCTGGTCATATATTATTGAGCTCTAACCTGATGAGAGTGGTCCAACAGGAGCTTCTTTCTAAGCATTCTAGGTAGCACCTAATAGTCATGCGTTTGAACTCCTGAATCTGAGCTGACTCCTCGGCTGTCATGTCTGGCTGACGTGACACAAAAAGCTTCATCATACGGAACAACTCATCAACCACCTACAACACGCAAGAAAATGTATTTTGAATGGCTAACATTAATATCTGGAAATATAACGTATCAATCCAGCCAAGTAGACACGAACAGAGTCTAACCCTCAAGTCAGCGGGGAGATACAGACTAAAAACAGGAAACTGACTGAGTTTTCCAGATGTTTGAAGTTCAATACATCTTACTTGAATGAATATTCAATTACATGTCCTCCAGTTTGAATTCGCATCACAAACCCCTAAAAAGAACTGAGATTGAGGTATGGTATTCTTTTTCATCCTCTGTCATTGTTCATGCAGTATTACCTGAGAAGTGACCTACTACTGACTTGTGATTAATTCCATTTAATTTAATTAATTTAATTTTTTTTATACGAACAATGATTTTTAATTCTTTCTGTCCTGCAAAAATTCACTTGTGAATGTAAAACTATTGCTGACTTGGACTATGCTGAAACTAGCTTCTCATGTAATATGCATGCACATGTCCACTTCAACTTTCAACTCTGACAAAACGTGTCTAATTTATTCCACCCTGTTACCCTTGTGATCAGTTTCCTTGGATCTTACCATAGGATACTGACTTGCATATGGCGTTAGGAATCTGAATGCCCACTGCATATTCTGATGGACTGCAAGTGCTCTTGCAAACTGTGGTGATTGTTGGCAACACAGACGTAGTAAGCCATAGTAGGCTGGTAGCATGATACGATTGAACATGACAACCTCTTGATCATCATGGTCAGCTCTGAAGGCAAAAATGGGCCAAAAAGAAGAGTCTTATCAAATATGACCTCGAAAGAAATAGAAATGCTTAGTTTATCAAAAGTATTCTTACAGATAAATCCAAAATACAACACGTTCTCATTAGTGGTTATTTTAATGAGGTAAATTGAAAATCTATACATATCACAAATATTTTTGACAGTAAATGTAATTATATCATTTCACACAGGCCATCGCGCATATATACACACCAGAATATTGCTTTTTCCAACCTTGGTATGCCCATGAGTGTAAATATCTTTGTTTGTATAAAGTACACCATGTGAGTGGCTATATTACAAATTTATGAATGTCACAAAATTTGTCACACACAAGTCACAAAATTTGCCTCCTTAGAAAATGCCTCCAGCAATTTCCACTGACAAACAGCAGCCATCACAGTATTGGAGAACTTGTCTTGAAACGAGGAAAAATTAAGCATTTTTTTTCAAAAGTCAATTACTTTGAAAGAAAATGCTATTATCTGTGTACATACATACTAACTGCCAGTACAATCCGATGTGATTACTTCTAAATCAAGCAGAATCAATCTGCTTTTGGTGTATAGGGAATTTAGAAGTGTCGGCCATTCCTCCACATGATTCCAATATACTTTGAATTCAATGTGCACAGATGACTGATGTAGAAATAGGGATCTGTGTTGTTTTTAGAACTCACAGTCAACTGAGTTACTCACAGAATATAGTTGTATGGGATGTGCTTGACAACAGTAGGATTGCTGATGATAAGTTCCACATTCTCTGGAACATCCACACATGCATTATACCAGAACTGCAGTAAAGCCTGTGAAATATGTCCAACAATACACGATCATTCAATACAGGACAAAACAGCAGTTACATCACTATGGAGCACCGTTTCCTTTCCATGAGTAGAAGATCACATAGCAGGCCTCAAACATACAAAAACTTTATTCACAGGCAAGTTCACCCTTAACGTAGAGTGAAATCTACCAAGCATGTCTTACATAGCCATTACTGTTGTTGGTATAGAGTTTTGGATGTGCAGTATCGAAAAGCACTGAGATGGTCTGGTCTTTACTCTTTCACAACAAAACTATATGAAGGAAATGGTTCAGTAGTGCTGAAAACCAGACTGTTTATGCAGCATATGCACAGAACTACACATCTTTGTGGGAATGTGTCAGTGGCTGGTTCTCCAGCTCCCCACAAGCATTAACGGGTGCAAACAATGAAATTGATCAAAACTAGAACAAATAAACACCTATTTGTTCAAGTCAAACTGAGTCGCATGTGAAGTACTCTGATACTAGCTCCAGAATATTACCACATTAGCCATACAATGCTTCCTCCTTTCCATGTAGAACTAGTGTGGAGTGGCACAGTGATTAATTAACTATAGAGAGAGTCAAAAACAATGCAAAATCCAACGTGGCCATATGAATATGGTTACATAACACTGAATGACATTAGCCACATACACGTATCCTACCTGTTTATTGTGATTGCAAGCTATTGGTGGCTCGGATAGCTTCGGCTGGTACAAGTTCCATAAGTCCATGAAGAACTGTGAAAACTATGACATGGAGAAGATAAAGATGATCATGGAAACTTCTAGATACTATGAAATGCACAGAACATGTCCACCCATATAGAGGTTGTAGCGGCCAGAATGTCGTTCTGTATTTTGTTTTGTTCACGAGTGCAGTGACTTGCGTCTTGTGATGCTTTGTTCCTTGAGGGCACTGTGTAAGCACTCACCTAATTCCGTTCCACCATTTTGAATTTCTGAGAAAATTGTCATTCTTTTGCCGTTAATTTGCAAAAACCTTGCCAGCTCAGCAAAGTGAGTAGTAATTTTTAGTCTTTAGATTCCATCTGAACGTTGTTATAAGGTTTCCAGCGGATTCAGGTCATAAATTTGAGAGTTTGTCATAAAAGATTTTTTTTTAATTTTGTTTAGGACTTTCGCCTCTTTACTGATGAGGGCGCTGGGCGCGTGCATGCATGTGCAGCTCATTTATCCGCTCCTTTTGACCAGATTGTTATTTATTACCTTTTGAACATTTCAGAGCAACAGATTTAAGTTTGAATAGTTGTACTGGTGTAAGTAAGCAGGCACACATAGGATTTACATGGGGATACATCATTTAGTAGTATTTTGTATTTGTAATTTTATATAGTTGAACCACCATCACTGTCACTTCTGTCACCATTGTCACCACAACCATTGTCACCGTCACTACCACCACCACAGCAGCTTCCTACTGTCAAACTCAACTACTACTGCTACTCTATGACGCCAGGCTGCTGTGTTTCTGCGCTATCTCGGTATTTAACTTAAGTCACCTGGTCAAAACTGAATCACAAATTATTATCATTTGACTTCAGACTTCTGAATCACAAATTATTATCATTTGACTTCAGACTTTGTTATTGTATAGCCACCCAAGTTTGCCACATCATTCCAGCAAATAAAGTGACAATGGAGTTACATTTACATATAACAGACATTATTTGACTACTAATCCCGGTGCGTGTCATTGCTGAGCCACCTAGTTCAAATGACGATCTGTAGCACAAAGGCTACACAGGTAAAAGCTTAAATAGTAGACGTGTAACAGGCTTGTGACAGATCAAACAGATGAACACATATCATATGCAAATGTATACACGTGCATTTCATGGTGCAAAAATTATGAAACTCTACACAAATTCCAACCAAAATTGAAGACAACACATTTCCTAGTGTATGCTGAATATGAGGCTGTGTCCGAAACGGGCTTCCAGAACTACGGCTAGGTCTATTGTCTACGTGTCTCCATTTCCAATGGAACGAATACCTAGACCTAGCTCTAGACAAGAGATTCAGATGCAGCCTAACACTCTCCCCAAAACACAGCCCACTCTAGTAAATTTAAGGGGCCACTTTCAGCAAAACATCTTCAATTTTTGTGTTCCTGTCCTTACTTAGAATGCAACAGGAGCTTCAACACTCCAAAACAATAAGTCTTACACTATCTTTATATACTAAAACATAAAACCAAATTTCTAATTTCCAGTGTTGAACCACGACTGAATGATTGTTTTCGAAAAATGAACTTACATCAAACATCCTTTCAACATTCAATTACACATTTTCTGGTACAATGAACTTGATACAGATGATGTGGTGAGGTTGCCAGAGCTGAGGAAAACTGCCAGCCCCTCTGACTCCGTGATTCAGTTATTACCACGGAAGTCAACAAAATATTACTTTCCAGAATAAACACAACATCCAATGAATCTCAAAACTCAGCACTGCAACCACCTGACACTAAAGTCTTATTTGCACATACTCTTTTGGAAAATAACTTACATGTATGGCAAGTCATATTATGTTCATTCTGTTGCAGTATCAGAAAAGGATCCTATGAAAGAACTTATTAATGTGTATCTTTATTCTGTACATTTTGTTTATATCTGCCAAACCTCTGAAAGGACTGGTAGACATTTCTTTATAACAAAGAGAAACTGAAATATCTTCTTACCATTCTCTTTTCTATTTTGCTGACAATGCAGTGGCTGAGAACAGAGAAGTAAGCAACTAGCTTGGTAGTACCATGAATTGATGTATCTGTGGATGTAGATAAACAAGCTGTTATCCCAACTACTAGAAAAGCCTCATCTTGTTTCAATTTAGAGGACCAAAAAGTGGTATCGTCACCAAGACTATATCAGACATGCAACTTGGAATTCAGAAGAAAAAAATTAAAATTCTACATTTTACATGATTTTGTAGTGTTTTTCAATTTGTAATAGCAAACATATATGTACATGTGAAGTTGACAACAAAGAAATCACCATCAAGAAAAATGATTAGAATGATTCGAAACTTTTCATGGTGGTAGTGGTAAATATGGTAAGGATTTTTGGATACATCATTAGATCTTTCTCCTCAATTGCACCTGCTTAAGGTTCATTTCAAAAAAGACTCCAAGGACTGTCAGCGTATGATTGTCTCCTGAAATCTGATCTGTGGCTTTTGTACAATTGCGGGGGGAAATGAACTTTTTGCCTAATACAAAGTGTACAAAACCCATGGACCATGTTTCTGTAGTTTTGTCATTTTTTGTGTTGTACTTTTTGATTTTCGATACTGATGTGTTTTGTATTTGTTGCGGTCAAATAAATAATAATGACAAAGAATCAAATTCAAATCATAGCAAGGTGACCATGCTTTTGCCAGCTGTAAACTTGACAAATGGCCTGTCTGGGGTGTACTGTATTGTGAACTGCTACTAGCAGTGGTTCCATATTTTTTAGTACAGGTACGTACATGTATATAAGATTCAGTTAATTTGAAACCATTTGGAAGTCACAGGCATGTGTTGGAATCAGAAAACTGATTTCACATTGTACATGTTTACAGGAATTAAAATTTAAAAAGATCTTGGTGTTTTAATCAACACCAAGTTTAACTTTGTTCTGCACGTGGATGTCCTGATTAAGACAGTTAGTCATTTGAGTGGACTGGTGTGGTGTAATTTTCGCTCCTGTCGTAACGAACATATTTTGCGTACATTGTATTGCACTATCATCAGACCTCATTTAGAGTATTGCACAGTAGTTTTTAATTCAATCTCTCTCTGCTGAGTTGTCCGATCAGATCAGGAAAAGTTTGTGTTTGATGATCGTGCAAAAATGATGAATAGCATTGAATACTGCCTGGAGCTCCAAGATATTGAAGGAACTGAGATTCCCAGGTCCCTGAGACTTGAAAGGGGAGAAAGGAGGCAAATCATCTGAGTTGGGATGCATCGTTGGTAACGGTCACTTTAGGGTCCACCTTTGGGAAAGGAAGACCGCAGTTTAGATGGTTCTGCATTAGCCACCAACAAAGATGTGGATGAAATCCATAACAGAAATTGGAGGTCGATTGGATCCCATTTGGGTCAGAAGTACACTAGTAGGTGGAGCTGGATGGGCTTCATGTACAGACAACAGAAGAGCACCAGGTTTGCAATCAGGCCAAGGAGACGTAGCCATGCTTAGGCTGGGGCCGATCAGTGAAGTAAGAAGAGGCTGGCGCAGTCAATGAGGTTGTCAATGCCCCGACGGAGGTCGAGAACCGCACCTAGGTAAGTCAGATTCTGAGTAGGGACTGGTCTCGATTTTTCATGGTTGATTAGGAACCCCAGATGGCTGGTAAGCTCTTAAGTGAAGCGAGTGGAAGTTGCAGCCTCATCTGGAGATCCACCTACAGAGCCAGTCGTTGAGGTATTGGAATATCAAGACATCTAACCGGTGAAAGTAGGCGGTAACAATTTTGGCCACTCAGGTGAATACCCTTGGGGATGACGAAAAACCGAATGGGAGGGAAACTTGAACGTTCCTTCGTTGTAGATGAATCTAAACTTGCGGCCCAATAGGTGGATTAGGATATGAAGGTAGGCGTCTTTCAGATCCACCGATCAAGCCCAGGCGGGAACTGGCAATGATTGAGTTACTGTTTGAAGAGTCTCCATTTGGAACCTTCTGGGGCAGACGAACCTGTTTAGGGGCCTCGGGTTGATAATGGGTGCCACTTGCCAGGTTCTTTCTTTGGTTTGAGGAAGAAAGTTGAAACAAGGTCTCCATTGTCATCGTTAAGGAGACCAGCCACAACGACCCGTTTCAGAAGAAAAGAGTTTATATCTGACTCCAATGCTAGCTGTTTGTTCTCATCAGAGGGGATTGAGGTTGGATGGAGAATTATGTCGGACAGGGGGGCACTCGTGAATTCCTGAGAGAAACAGTTGTGAGAAACCTTCTGTCTGACGTGATGTCTTGCTAGAGCCTTTCATTTAACTGCAGGTGGCCTCTGACAGGTTTGGGAAGGGGGGTCACGGACAAAGAGAGGTAGTGATCGGCTCCTACACCCGGATGGGCAGGGGTTCCCTCTGGGTCTGCCTGCCTTCTGTGATGTTTGTGTGGGCTGAGAAAAGGGCAGTGTGAAATTAGACTGGCACCCAGAGGAACGAAAGGAGTGACAGGAGTAGCGGTACCAAAGGTGCTGCAGAGGGAGGGGTCTGGCCTGTTGAACATGACGACTGGGAGTCGGCTGCTGGTGAGGAATAGGTTCAAGGAAGCTGAGCTTTTAAGTTGTTCCAATGCACTTGGAGACCGATTCCATCATCTCTATGAACTGATCAGCGAATAGGTCTGTCCCGTATAATGTGAAGGCTTTGAAGTGCAGCTATTGGTTTAGTTTAGCTATTAGACACAGCGAAATGGGAAATGACAACACAAAAAATGCAAAAATGACACGTCCATTAGCAACGGCACAAAGAAAACAAGGCCGAACATGGTGGTGACACAGCGCTGCATCATAGCACCAGAGGGCGCACTACAGTTGCTTGAAGTTTTTAGCAAATGGCAAAAGGCGTAGGATGAGTGCAGTGGACTCACACATTTATTCACTGATTATCAAAATGTCCATTGGATGGAGGACTTTCCATGCACTGATACTGACTTACCTACGTAGTGCCTGGCTCTAGGCAATAATCTCAGGAGGATGGTGTATATTTGTTGCAGTATCATTACAGCCTCGGAGCTCAGCTGAAAACAAAACAACATGTGTGATTTAAAGTTTACAATGTCTTCGCATGTAGTGTGAACAGTACATTTTCCTTCATTTTTTCGGTATCGGTTGTTCTCATTAATTTTTGGTAGTGTATGTTCGTAATGTTAAGACCAAACTTTATATTATTTTAGGCACAAACATTCCCTTTTATACAGTATAGTCTATAAGCTTGTGATGATGAAAGAATGTTTGGAATGATGGAAACTTACTTTCTTTTAGGCATGACTTTAAGAACCCAGCAAGAAAGTGCAAACAATGTTATTAGATGCTTTGTGCATTCTTTCTGTTGTTTGACAGAAATAATGACCTTTACCAGTGGCACTGTTCACGGTTATCTAATTTTATCTTAAAGAGTCATAAAAGTTCAAAAGAAATGCCTTTATACATTTCTTGTGTTTTTGGTGAAAAATGAACAAAAATAGATTAATAATCAGTTTACCTGATTTTAATGATAGACTTTTTGTCCAGTTGATAAGAAGAAAGTGATTTTAATTTTTTTTTGCGCTATTCAACCGGAAAAATGGCGTTGGTGCCCTACATCTAAATTAGTGTTTGGCCTTGGTGCCCTACTTGTTTGCCTTGGTTTCCTTCCACAGGAATAGATCACGGAGGCCAAATGGCCTTACCCTCATCAATTCTTATTTCCAGCCCAGCATGTTTATGAATTTTTCTTTCAAAATAGACACTAACCGCCAAAACTACCGACAAGAAACCCTGCAAAATCTTATTCATGTATGTCCAAAACGTTGGGTTTTTGTTGTTTACTTTGTCAATACTCAGGGAGGCAGATTATTGGAAATATGCCGTGCCATATCTTTTCAAAGCTAGGCACATCTGTTATAAGTACTTTTACACAGATTCAATCTAACACAACACAAGGTTTGCAATTTCACAAACCCATCTTTAAACAACTGGCATTCAGAGAAAATGGTTTCTTAGATTTTAACAAAGTTTTTGTCAAATGAATGAAAAAAAATCAGCGGAAAAAAGCTCATAAAGGCTCCATACAAAAAAAAAGCAATGAGAGAAAATAATGGGGGTAAGGTGGATTCAGGGCCCCTAGCCCTCTTAACCACATGCTGCTGGGTGCTTTTAAAAATGCAGTGCACACATACGGGCGATTTTCAAGATTTTCAGTTTTCAAAATTCTTCAAAAATTCATCATTTCATTTAATGGACGTTTAAACCCACACGAATGACTCTTTGGTGGCTACTCTAAGCTGAGATGTAACCTTCAACTCCTGAATATTACAGCCAGGCCTGCTGCCCTGTAAAGAGAACCCAGAATTGTGAGGTGTTGCGTAATTTCCTTTGTCCCCAGGGAATGTAAGTGGCTTCTTTTCAAATGCGGCTGGATTAGCGTGCAGTGGTGCTGTCTCGCTCATAAATGGAGCCCTGGACCACTTTTATCCGTGGTGCTAATCTGCTGGCACGCTATGCCCAAAATAGTGGTATACTGTTTAGAAACAGTGAGGGATTACCTTCGAAAAATGCAAGCCCAAAAAAGATGGCAATTCTAAACAGCAGGTCTTTTGCTCTAAGTACAGTCTTTTGTCACACGGACCAGCTCTTTTGTCCCATTTCAGGCACTGCCGCTGCCGTAGATGTTGTCTGTCAGATTAGAGTAGAAACCAGACAGTCCTTTGTGTGGGTGTTAGTGTCCAGTAAATAAAGATAGGAATTTTAAAAGAATTTTGAAAACAGAAAAAAATGATAATTATCCCGTCCATGCATCATCAACATTGATAACTGCCACCGGCGCGAAGTGGTTAAGGCTAAAGTGTGCTTGGTTCAATCCTGAAACAGTTTTGTAGTTGAGGTAAATACAAACTGAAATTTCATTTCAACCTTCAAATATCCATTTTTACCACAATGTGTGATGCAGATCATTTTACTTAACATACAAAAGGAAAACACATAACACTGATTTACCCGTATCTCCTTCTGAGGACTGTGCACTGACCGAGCTGAACGGAAAGACTGTCTGAAATGAGGGTCAGGTACCAGTGATATCAGAAGGAATGCAGCAGCTGTAAGAGAAGATACACGTGATACTAAATAACTGGCAAGGAAAGGATTTATAATGCTGTAAACATACATGAATGATGGTAGCAATGTACCATTTCTATGTGATATGGCAATTATTAACGTGAGTCCAAACTTTTAAGTCACAGGCTATGAGGAATAGATAGTTCCTGAACCATGAAATCCACAAATAAGAGACTCCAAAATTTCTGAGTGAACATGTCCCGAGCTGTTTATAGAGAGAGTTGCGACATTAGTTTCTCAACTGTTAGAACCAAAATGGTGGATTATGTGTTATATTTTAGTTCCAAAGTTTGAAGTTGGTGCTACTCTCTCTATATACAGCTCTGAAACATGTCCGGTCAGTGAACAGAACTTATGCAACAAGCTCTATGTACACATTTCAATAGTCATACATATATTTACCATTCCTGACTCTGACATTGTTGTGAGCTAGCAGGAAATGTTCCACCCAGGTCTTGATTCCCTGTAAAACCCAATGATGGGCCATTTTGTTTCTTGGAGTTTGGGCAGCTAGCCAGTCAAGAACCTGCACTGGGTTAAACTCTGACACCTGCCACACAGAAACAGTTAAGATAAAGAATGCACACAGTTTAGACTAAATTTTACATGGCTTTCCAAAACACTAAAACTTTTTAAAATTAAGATCTAAACAATTTATCAAATTGCTTAAGCACGGCTTCTCCTCAGCTTGATATTAGACTCTTAAAAATCTAAAATAAATTGGAAAATAAAATCTGGTAAATTAATCTTCTCAGACCAACGAATCCTAAACAAACAAAAATCCCCCGCAAGCAATAAAATGTATAACTTCTCTTTCTCTTTCCATGTAGACCACCTACCTCCCATATTCTCTGAAGTATGATGGGCGTGAATGGAGGAACACCTGGTAGTCCTCCCCCCGTCTCAACCAGCATAGACAAAATCTTGAAGAATGGCTGACCAGCCTAGAACAAGCATAAGGTTTGGTTATTCATCGCTTCTGCAATATAGACCACAGTTTATTGCATGTTGTCTGTTTCCCTAAGTTAGACCATTTCGGTGTAGTATTGGACATATGGCAGGTTAGCCAAATATTTTTATGCTCAATTTGATATTGTACAAGGTGTGATTCACAAACAAAAAACTACTAAACAAAAAAGTTTCAAATGAGGGAAACCAAGATTCTGTGGTATCATGCCACTGACATGACAAATTAATTGACTTATGTGAGTTCCATAAATAAACATTTTCACTGGTGCATACTTGATTCAAAGCTAATTTTGTTCTCTGTTGGAGATGATGCTGAGATCATGCTTGACTAATCAGACAAATCCTGATTCTATTTCTCTTGTAGAGGCATCTTGTTATTCAATTCTTTTCCTTGTCTCCAATAAGTGAACAGAGGGAGTTTGAGAGGCTAGATCTACCACAGTAGAGTAAAGCATTCAGTATTTGCATGGCAGCCTTATTCTGAAAAATACTACACACAGAGTTACCAAAATACTGCACAATATGAGACAGGGGTTTCATGACTACAGACATACACACGTGTGCACAAACTTGTGAACATGCTCTTGTGTACTACAGAGGGCAGATATACAAAGGGAACAAAACTTTTTGCCAGTCCTCAGAGGTCAGTCTGTAGTTTTAAGGGAAGACAGCAAATAATCTCACCCTCTGAGATAGCAAAACACAACTGTATGTGCATTGTACGCATCAAATACTGGTGTGCATGGAAACACTTTTGTCAAGAAGCCTGGACATGTGCAACTATATTTATATCAATTTATTTCATGTTGAAATCCAGGCACATGTACATGTATGTTTCCACCAGTTTTAGGATTTCATTATTACCACATGTACATGTCAAATAATGCGTGGAATCTATGAATGGCGAGGTGTGACACCAACACTAATTATTTTATCTTTTGGTTGAGTTAAACTAAACTGCACATTTTTTCACAGTATATCAGTTTAGGAAAAACGGATATGTTTCTACATTAACCACATCAAACTTCAGCACAGTCCAAACATTCAACAAATTTCATGATATGTCTATCAGCTGGAAATATCATTTTAAATGCATTGGTTTCGTTTCGATAAGAGATAAGACCAACACCTTAACTACAAAACAAAGCTCACAAAAGTTAGTAATCAAGCAAGCCAAGTCAAACTTTTCTGTAAAAAATGATGAGGCTATCCATGATTACTGAATAACTGATTTTTTAAGCACACACATAAGTATTATGAGAAACGTCATCCAGTTTGAAGATTTCCGACATACCTCTTGATTTAGTTTAGCAATGGCATTGAAGATCATGGCTACAATCTGCTCTGCCAGTCTGGGCTGGAATCGTGTCAGGCTGATAATCAGATTCCGTGTCTGCTGAAGGTTGATACAGTCACGAATTTGTTGGAATAAGAACGGGAATCCCTACAACAAAAGGAGTGAGCAATGAAATCATTACAACTTTCAAGACACATGCAGGCTTGGTTGTTACAGTTTGTCTCAAAACCCCACTCATGCCATACTGATGTGGGCTTCCAGTTTCTTTCTGACAGCATATTACTTCTTTTCCTCAGAAGTAGGGGGAATGATATAAAGGCTAACTTTGTAACTTCCTTTGCAAGAATGAGTCCGACATCATACACATTTATATTAATTCATGCTATTTCTGTTCAGGATTTGAGTGAAAAACAAAAACAAAAGAATGAAACAATACAAGCCAATTAAAGCAATTTGAATGGGTCCCTTTTTTGGTTGTCTAGTTGTGCTTGTTTAAATTTAATACCAAGGATTGGCCAACTATTTAAGACAACTGAAGACAATGACAGTTCAGAGGCTTTTGTTTAATTGCAGCGGTACATTTGTCTCTGTGAACTCAACTGATCCAAGAAGACTTCCAAGTAGTATGTGGTGAGATCAAAGTGGTAGTGTTTGACTTTGAAACTACTAAAACATCACAACTTGTATATAAATTCAGCTATCATCCCACTTTTAACAAGGAAACTTACAGAGAACTGTACCAAACTGAATATCAGAATACACTGTGGTGGTAAAAGAGGTAACTTTGTACCTATGGCACCACACCCATGATACATGCACAGTTATATTATTTCTCAACAAATCATTATGCACGTACATGAAATGGTGGACTCACTAAATGACAGCATTTACACCTTGCTTTTTTTCCTTTATTATTAACTGACCTTTCCAGCAACAAGCACTGCATAGTCTGTCTGAGACAGCATGAGTTGCCGGTCAGTCCTTGATGAATCTACCAAGTACGCAATAAGTGAGATCATTTTCTCCAAGGATGTGGGTTTGTACTTGTCCTCTGTCAAGGAGATGATGTCATCTTCTTCATCTTCATCATCATTATCATCATCTGAGACTACCTCAACCTGAAAAAATAAATCACAGCAGGTAGTTCATTCAGACGAACCAACATTTCAGGTACTATAAAGCACAACCGATTTGGAGTAACTACATTATTAAGACTTCAAATTCAAGGCTTTTTGAAGCCATTTTTCCTTAACAGAATAAGTATCAGCTTGACAGACAGGAAATTTGACAAGATAACAATTGGATAAAGAGCGCTTTCAAAGCGAGGACATCTGAGAGTTCGGTCTTACGTAATCAGCAGCCTTGGTGCCGAGGTAGAAGTTTGTCATGATTGAGATGGCTTCAACAGAGGTTAAGAACTGAGCCTGCAAAAGAAGAAAGAAAACACTGTGATTTTTTGCCATTTACAAACATAGCACAAAATGACTGATTGAATCGAACATTTTGAAATCAATACACTCTGAATTTGGATGAATCCTGAGAAATCACACCCCTACATTTATGACAACTGAAGAATGTTTACTTGGAGTGAAAATATGATTCCTTTTAAAATCAATAATGCCTGTTTATCTGCATATGTACAGCTGTTCCCCCTCTAGCCTTCCCCCCCCAAAAATCTTACCTCATCCTCATCAATTTTGGCAAAGTCATACAGCACTGAAAAGTACTCTGTAAGGTGCTTGCACTGTGGACGCACACCATGCTCGATCTAAATGACCCAAAGATAAAACTGTTACATTACAACATAAGGTGAGCTAATCACACAAAAAGTAAAAATGACGTAAACATTACCAGAGCAATGCGCATTTGTGCAATCACATAAAAAGCTGACTAAATTGATCAAAGACATCACTTCAGGACGTATTATTTTCAACTCTTTTTTTTATGCAGAGATGTATGTTTTTCCTCATGAAAAATTCCAAGTTCGTTGAAACCATTTGATTCGCACCAAGCATTTGCTGTAATTGAAACTTATTCTAAAGCAGAGTTGGTTTTATCCATTGGGTTGTCAATTATAGACCATTTCACACATGTGCATGCACCACTTGGAACAAGCACATTTTGAACAAAATTGAAAAGTAGGTCAGCTAAAGCAATAGCTACAGAACTACACAAAATTTGTTCAGGATCTGAAAAATGTTTATGACTGTATCTTTAGCTGAAACTCCAAAGTAATTTGCTCAGAACCTTCCAAACTCCTCTAAAACAATACACTTTGGATTCCATATTTGCATTCTTGCATTTTATTCCAAAGAGCACCAAAACCCATCCGTCCCCAACAATCCTGTAATATCCACAAAAAACCTTGTGGTGAATTTGGGCACATGTGAGTTAGTATTTAGTCAAAACTGGGTTTGGATTATTATCAACAGCCACTGCAGGTTTCACTGAGTATTTCTTCGTTTTTCTCAAACAACATGTACTTCCACCGCATTTGTTTATATTTTGAAATTCAGCACTATCCATGGAACTTTTCAAGATTTCAATCAATTAAAGAGAACCCAATTTGACAAGCTCACAATTGACAGCAGCTTCTTGATGAACCGGGTGACGCAAGAGTAGTTCCCAATCTCCTCTGGAGGAATATCAACCTCATCCTCTCTGGTAATGAAAAAGCATCAAATAAAAATCCTTTGTGTACAACAGTTACCTAGAGGTGTAGTTATTGCACAGTAAACTATGATTGTGAAGAATGTCTACTCAGACATGTACACATCCCTTTTGAATAAAAGTACACACCATGGAGTTCAATGTTATGCACATGATGTTTACTGGCTTCACATCTTATACATGTAGTTATACTGATTTCATGTTTTGTTTACATTTATACTTTCCTACTGTATCTCAATGGATCTTGTTCACACCTAGTTCCTCATACAAAAGCACATGTAAACAAGGTGCGATGTCTTCTGTATACTGATCTAATGTATGACTATACACACACGTGGATCAGGTACATGTACTATACATGTCATTTCAGGCTTTTTGGACCAGTTTTCCCCCAACTACATATCTGAGAACATAACCACCCTCTATTAAAGAGCAATATCCCTACTATGGCTATCAGGTTTATTGTACAAAAAAGAAGCATCTATACAAGACAGTATACAAAGTCTGAGACAGCAAATACCCAATGCTTTCATGATTCAAACGTGAAATTAACATCGTCCTATTTGTTTAGCACACCTGCTAAATGTTGAATTTAAAAGACCACCAAAGTCTCATCTTACCCATCAACAAGAGGATGAAGGTACAAAGGTGCATGCTTGTCTCTCAGCTGTCTAATCACATGAACACACAGCCTCTGGAATAACTGAATTCCACCAACAAAAGCACACCATGTCAAACTATTTTATTCTATGAGATTTATCCTGAGGGAAGTTCATGAATAAAAACAAGTACAAGACAAAGGAAATGCTTGACACTTTAGTAAAGGATGGCTGCAATATATGTATCAACTTCAATAAATAAATAAATAAGTTTAAATATGACAGTGTGCATTTTTAAAAGTGTACCATGCTTAGATTTGTTAAATGTGGTATTTCTGAAAATTCTACTGTCGTTATACATTTCAAATTGCCCATTCACATTGCCCATCAGTAAGGCTGGAGGACTGCTTCAAGCAGAATAAGATGGTATGACTGAGAATTTGTACACTGCTTATATTACCTGTCGACAGGTTTGTATAGGGCACTTGATCAATATCTGCTGTGGCCACCAGTCATCATTAGCCATGTAATCGAGGAACCACTGAAAACAATCATAATTATCTTGTGAATTATTGTGATGTCCACCTATTTAGTCATATCTGGCTAGTTATCTGCTTGACGTAACAAGCTACATGTCCCCTGAAGCACTGTTGTAACATATTGTTTGAATAATCAACCATTCTATTATGTGTCGTCAAACAAAAATAGGTGGGAACGTTAGGAAATGGGCTTAGATATTTTTGAAGCACGGTACAAATGTAAAATATATGTCCCACCGAGAATCACTTCCATTGAATGTTCAAGTTGAAGTTTTCCCTCTCAAAAAAAGCAGACACTTGGGGGTTACATGTCTGGTTAACTAGCCAAGCCGTTTGTTAATCCTTGGCTAATCCAATTGAACAATTACTTAAGTGAGAAAATGCAGTGGCCACTAACCGCCCATAACAGTAAATCAAGAAAACCTAGCCTTTTGAATGGTGTGGGTAGTGTAAACTACATTCTTCAAATGAAACTTGATTGAAACAACAAGCAAATGACACCTTCCACAGAGTAACAAACACAGCTCGAAAACATTTTTTTTTCCTGCTTAATTTATACAATCAAAGAAGCACTGTCATGACAGCTTGGAATAACAAGTTCAATGTTTACATACATGTACTGCACTGTGCTTCTTTTCCCTTAAGTTTTCCCCATATATCCTTTTTTAATACCAGTCATCTGGACCACTATCTTCACTAGTATAGTCATATCTTCACTAGTCTAGCCCAACAAGCAGTTGCACACTGAATGTTTGAATTTAAGTTAAAAATGTGTTTTGCTGAGATGGCAAGTTTGCCTAAATTTCGCTGCTCAACTGAGGAAGATATTTTAAATACTGTGCTGCATCCACACCCACCATACTGTCAGACAGTCATAATGAAAGGATGCTTGGTTGAATTGCTACTAAGACAAGGATTTTGACTTTGAAATGAAAACATGAGAATGAAATATTAAAAGAGAAATTTGCCAAGTGAATTAACGCTAAGAAATATTCATCAAATGTTTTGATAGTGTGGATTGTTCCCAACGACAATGAGCTGGTGAATGCAGCCATAAATATCTCGCTCCGTAGGTCAGGGTTCCTTGCAACAGACTGGCTCCTGGTACTTACATTGTTGCTTATGCAACTGAATTGGGGAAAACAGCAAATCTAAAGACCTGTGCCTTATGTCACATTTGTTTTCACCACATCACAGTGTGCAACAAATAATGCTTGTAAAATAAATTAAAACTAAAACTAAATTGGGGAGAAAATATCCATTTTTCTTTCTATTTCATGTAACCTTTTTATTTCAGTGGAAGCAAATGTTCAGTAAAATATGGAACTAATGTTGCCCACAGTTGTGGAACATATATATACAAAAGATTGGAAATAGTCTTACGCTGGTCTCCCAGACCTCTTCAACAAGGACTTGTAGGCCTACAGGGCCACATCAATTTTGACTGGCATTTGGCAAATGCATCAATGTTATGTTCCACCCCAGCACACTCGCAAAATATTCTGTGATCCCGAAAATCCTACTCTACAATTTCCGATGACACAAACATTCATGGATTTTAGGTTTACATGGTGATGACAGCCAGCTGGACTTTTGCAGATAACTTAAACTGCTGCAATGTAAATTGTAAATGACTACATGTGATAATCAAATATTACAAAGCTATTCATGGAGCTAGAACTGACCTCGCAAGCAGCTTGACAGGTGTGGAACTGTTTGGTCATAAGTTCCATCCACTGTAGCATGGTTGGTTTCTCCCTAGCATGGAGCAATGTCTCAAGGACAAAGGTAGTTGTCAACTGTGGCAAAGATAAATATAAAGAGCTTTCCAATAATTTGAAGAGAGTCTGTAAATCAGAAGAGAATACATAAACCTTTGGACCTTATGAATAAAACTTTCTACTTAAGCAAATGTAAAAATAGCGGATTGGTTTCATGCTACTCCCTATCAGGCATCCCTTTCTATGGTTCTGACACGGAAGTGACAATAAAATGTATGACATTGATGGAGTTGCAGCAGAAACAATTATCATTCACGTCAGACTTTCATGAACTTACACTAAATCAGAACACTGATCAGTTATCAGGGATACACAGCACCCTTCACTTTGCCTCTAAATGCTTGGAGTTCCTCTTGTGTTAAATCATCACATCCCATATCACAGCAGTCAATAATTTTTAAGTATCTTCTTCAAAGCCATCCCATATCATACAAAGATTTATTTCTTGGGTAACCTCAAAATAAGGTGGTCTGATATGAGCATGGAATCAAAAAGGGTTGTCTATAACTCAAAAAAAACGTCTATCCTCATTGCACTAGGCGTTACATTCTGACAAAAAAAATCCTTTTGTCAAAGTAACACGTTAATCAAGATGTTTATTTTAAAAGTAAGATTACAAAGTCCAGGTGGTGTGTACTTTTGCTTACAAACATCATCTGTGTTTCCTACAAGCCTCACTTATTTGTAACTATACACAGTTGCTAGTGACATGCTGCAGTTCTATCTCGCTTTTTGAAGTGATCGGTACAAATAGTACCGACTGGCAGATCTTACTTTTACCTGGAAGAACCAATCGGGGTTGAAATTAACTTATATTTCTTGGTGGCCTGCAGGGCCAGTGGGAAGTGCACCGCACTGGCCCTCGTGAAAATTTGGTGGCCCGGGTTGAGTACATGTACATGTAATGAAATCAATCAGACCCACCACACATACCCATTTACATCAGTGGAATTTCTCTACCAAAACAGCCGATTGGCCAGCCTGGCTGGATTTAAATGAACTTTTTGAGGCCAACAAACTAGTTCTGCTTCTGGTTACATGACCGATCCTAAATTTTCGGCGCAACCGTCAAATTTATACAGGTAAGTTAGAAAAACACATTCAAAAATTACAAAACATCTTTCAATAATTTTTTCACATCTAAAAGCTTGTATGTTTTGTTTGCCTGCTCACATTTGCAACATTTGGAAAGAAAGTTCTGTTATTTTCACAAGGTCCCTTCGTATTTCAGTATCATGGTGGTGAAAACATGCATGCAATGTTACTCAATGCATAGAAGCAAGGCTTCACTGGTTCCCCCTGCGCAGCACCACTGCCTAATAAGGTGTGATGGCACTTCATGAAAAAGAATCTTCTACCAGGAAGTACATTATGTTGCCCCAGGAAGGCCTACATTGTGAGCCTACAACTGAGGGACCGCAGCCATGTTGGCATGTTACTTAAGGACACTGGTCTCAACAAAAGTCGAATCTAATCTGGAACAGTTAAAATGGCACATCAATATTAACTGTCCCAGGAACTACACAAGCTGGTTATGATATGAGATGATAAACTCATTGCAATACACATTTTATTTGTGCTCATTTTCTAGAATCTTACCTTTGATGCCATAAGTTGTACTTGTGAAGGATCAGGTAGTGTTGAGGGAAGATAGCTACATACTTGCCACATGAAGTTCATGTAGGAGTGATCAAAAATAGACCGGTCTCTCAGGTAATTTTTGTTATCTTGCCATATCCACTGAAGGGGAATTCAAAATACAAAATGTTAAATAGAGACCATTCTCACTTCTCTCGTTTACCCCACCACCCAAAAAAAAACCAAATTTACTCTTACCATTGCTGTGATCATTTTTCCAAATTAACAAGGACAGCCAAGTCCTCTTCAAAATAGTTTAATATGATACGGAACAGTCATGCTGTCTGAAAAATAGTTTTGGAGCAGTGTACCCTACCAACACAGTGGTCAATAAGTATCTTTCATTTCTAAACTCATAAATATCTAAGAGAGTTTTCCTACCCTGAGTTATCCTAGACCCTGTTAAGTGGACGGTTTTGGGATAAAATGTGCTTGAGGATTGTTTAAAACGTGTCTCTTCTTGTTGAAAATCTTTTTAAGTTCACATTTCTTCCTGGCAACTGTACCTCTGCTAGTTCTTTAGGCAGCACGATGGCGGGCTGGCTTGGAGGCTCTTGTTGACAAGTCTCTGGTGTACATCTCTCATAAAACAGCATGTAAGCACTGTGTGTCTGAAATGCAATGGACATGTCAAAAGAAAAGGGGTCTTTTGTAGTCGACGGAACAGTCAGTCTGTTAACTTGTGATACCACTGAAAACTACCAGATTAGTATAATGGTAAGATTGAGAGAATGATTAATAGTTAAACCACTGACTGCTTTCACCTAAATCCGATTCTCAAATAACTCTCAGATTGGTGCTGAAACATGTTGCACACCCAGACCTACATGTACACCTTAGAATGAAGACCAAGGTCTTTTGAGCAGGCTGTGTCTGTATGCTCCTAATGGTTGTAAATTATGGACACTGTGTTGCTGGCACATCAAGATGCTTGCCAGGTTTCAAATTAAATGTCTCCAGAGGATGCCAAACCTCACATGGAAAGACAAAGTTCCACATACAGAGATTCTTCTTCAATGTGAGACACAAAGGATTGAAGTGCAGATTACAAAAAAGCAATTCCACTGGATTGGTAGAGTTCTGTGGATGCCAAGTAACCGGATGCTGTTTATCATCTTGAACTCTGGAATGAGCGATTTCGTTCCAAATTTTGTACAGCAAATTTGCTACGCAGTTTTATTTTGTATAGCCAAAAATTGATTTTGTGATGCAAACAATTAATTTTGTAAAGCAAATACAAAATAGATGCTTAAGAAGTAAAAATTTGGCACTAGGTCATTTTGATGGGTCTGGGTCGGGCAAGAACAATCAATGCTTGTTTTAATAATACATACATCTGCAGCATTGCTACGTTTATCACTAGCCATGTACATGAGATCGGCCCAGGTCGGTAAGTCTACATGTATGCCTGTCCACAGCAGGCTTCCAGAGCTACGGCTACACCTATTACACCTGACATCAGCACGATATCAAATTTTGCAATTTTTTTCCCCCAATATTTTGGAAAAAAAAATTCAAACGGGCGTAAATGAAAAGGACTCACATTTCATATCACTGAAACATTATTCTACTTTTGCCACTTATGTAGGTTTATCGAGCCTCGCTGTTAACAAAGAAGCATCTTTTACCTTTTCAAATGAGAAATCCATGTACTTGTCCGTTACAGAATCATAGGTCTTCGTCTGAGAAACAAATTAAACAGATAACAATTACCTGATATGCAAAGAAAATAGAGTGAACACGTCCAACCATTGATGTACTTCATGACCAACAACTCACCGTCATTTCACCGCCAAAACATTCCCCAGCCAGCTGAGTAGAGTCAAATGGTTTGACTTCTGCATCATTGAACATATACCACTGATCGTCACAACTCTGCATTCGGTCTTTGATGAAGCTGTAGTAATGCCCACCATCTGCTGTGCCCGTGTGAACCGTCACACCAATGAGATCATACATGTAGGATGCATCTTCAGTCAGGTTGTCTATTAGTGAGTAGTCAAGGCAGTGTCAGCATGCATTAAACTCTTCTGTTTACTTTGTCTGCACAAAAAATTCTTGATCTACACAGCTGGATTACTGATAACATATCTGTTCCATTTGCATGACTGGTTTACATGCATGGAAAAAGTGAGAAAGATGTCATGGCGATCAGTTGATACTGCACAGTGTCAAATTTCACACTGGTATCTAGCCAACCTGAACATAGAGGGAAAAGATGCAGTTTTAAAAGGGTTAATGGCAGGCTTTGGTTTTTCCAAGCCAACTGTGTGCTTAGACACAGTTCTGTCCATACAGTTAATTAAACAGGACTTCATAATCAAGTTATATTCCCACGATTGTATCACTGAATTAGCAACACAGCAATACCAACAATAAAACTAATCTTACCTGCTAAACCAAATCATCTTTGCAAACTCTATCATGTTTGTTATAGCAAGGTCTACTAAATGCATCCTTATTTAAGCTACAACACCATATCAAAAAAGGAACTGAAAAGTGCAACAGATTGTCTGGAATAAAAATGGCAGCACAAGGTTTTGGGGCAGGTTATCCTTGGTACTAAGTAAGGATAGCAGCTGTGCTTACCTTGCCTGTTTCTGTCTGAACTCATAAGGGCATCTTCTGTGTAGCCAGCCATGTTCAATTTGAGTGGAAAGGAGAAATGTGTATTGACCTTCTCTTTCATCATAGTCACCATGTTAAAGGTGTAGCGCATTGTGTTGAAGGACAGGATTTTGGGTAAAGTCTTGAAGCATGCCCTGTTGACATCACAAAAATATGTGAAAACTAAATATACCATGGCAACTCCACTATGTGGGAATGTCAACCACATTTCTGTGCCTGACTCTGACCATGAGCAAAAGGGATATAATTAATAGGTCTAGCATGTAACACAAACACAAGAGTTCTCAATCCTTGAGTTAGAAGCAAATGTTGGACAGTATAAAGTAGCAGACTTGCCAAAACAAGCTCATTTTCTGTCTTCCTACTTTGCGGAGTGTGTTTTCGCAAAACTTCCTGCCACAGCACGAGGTTTGTTGCCTGCCCCTCTAGATGCATCATGCATACTTACCGTGCAGCATAGTGACACTGCTTGCCAGTTTTCCGTTGTCATTACCTAACTAGCATTGTGCATAGTGGTGTAAATTGTGCATTACATTTAATAATTGTTGACTAGATATTTTACAATGACTGAGGTTAACTTTTATCACTTTATGTGGCAATTTGTGGTAGCTTTTGTCCCCATTCAATCAGTACAAAGATATTTGAGAGGCATGTAATCGGAAGCAGAACTTTATTTTGACCTAATCCAGAGCTACTTATGTTCTAACCCATTATCTTAGTACTGAAGAATTATGTTCTATATAATGGTTATGCTATGCAAGGATGCTGATGATGTATGGCACCCTAAAATACAAGATACACAAGATACGAATACAACTTAATTCATCCAAAGCCGAGCTTATGAAGTTATAATGAGCAGTAATTATAGATTCTGTACATGATGCTAGGAAGTTTGCAAACTTTGACTGATTGATGAATAAGAGGAAGAATCACTCTGGGTAGTTTGTAAAAGGATTAATAATTAACAACTTCTAAAAGACTAAATTGGCAACCAGTGGCTGATGTTTATCTTTGGTTGAAGTTGCATGAAACTACAAAGGTTACTCAGAAGCAACGCTGGTATCCATACAAACTCTTGGGTGGAGGGATAAGTGGGAGGTGAAGTGGCTTGCCCAAGGACACAACAAATAGCCAGCAATTGGCCTCATCAAGCCCTTAATCTCTATTCATAAGATGTGAACCCTTGCAACAAGGCCACACTCCGTCTACCATCAATATAAACTAGTAAACAAATTTCTTGCTTTGTTAATTAAGCAGTCCCTCATTAATCTTGAAACTGTAATTCATTGATTTCATCTGGACTTTTTGTATTTGTGTATATCTTGTTAATTTTTTCCATGTCAGTGCATGGATTTTATCCTTTGAACATCCATGATCTTGATTTTCAATTGTTAGGGCTACTCACATTTAATGCATACAACTCCTAGATTTTTGACACCCTTTCCTTACATGCCATATGCAACCATCTAGATCCCCCCACACATCAACAGTGTATCAAACATACCTTTTTTCAGCTCTGACTTTTTTCCCACATTGTGAGCACGTGTACATATTGTCTCCCTCTAGAGTGTCTTTGACAGTCACTTCATCCAATGATTCCTGGATGATGAAAAGAAATACGGCAATAGTTATCTGGTAACGTGTATTACCCACATATATCCCTTCCTCACCTCTTCCCTCCACTAAATTATGAAAGGAAAAAGTATTTTTGAACACTGAAAGTTATTCTACACTGTGAACTTATCATTATAAGCTCTAAAACACAACTTTGCAACATCTTTACAGAGTTCATTACACCTGATGTGTGTCCCTTGTAGGAATTCTGAAAGAAAATAATCCACACCTGAAATGACAAGAACAAAGCCCAAATCACTGTTTGAGGGGCTTGGGTTTTCACAGAAATACAGAAAATGAGAGTTTAGGGGAGTTTCTGAACTGAACCCTCAAGTCTATGATGGCTATCAAAACCTGCAACTGATTTCACAAAAAAAGTGGTAACCATGCGTAACCCTTGCACCAACAGTTGTTTAATTAATCACCTCTGCCCGCCATGTTGAAAAAAGTTTTCGTCTTTTCCTTGTCAGATCCAGAGAGAAAATCTCGCAGTTCTTTCACAGCACAACCAGTTTTTAATTACCTTCTAAAACAAAGTTGCACTTTTCTCACATAAGCCTTGTTAAATTCAGCAATGATGAGGCTTAACCGAACACAATAAACTAGTCAAATCGTTGATTTTCACTTCGTTTGCCGCAACTTATGCCATCTAAAATGACTGCACAAATTATGCCATAATTTGTTGCACAAGTCACAAATTTACACAGTGCGCAATTTTCGTATGTGGCGTAAGTGGAGTTGCACTACTGCGTAAAGTTTCGTGAAATCAGCTACTGAAATACTACAAATGCAATATGTTGACAGTCCCAATATTGGATGGCGTAGCACTGTGATCAGAATAACGACAAGAATATAATATCAAATCACATATTTCAGAGCACTGATTTGAATATTCTTGTCATTATCTGAATGATGATGTTGTTCTGCATGAATCTACTCACATAGAGGTTCTTCATATCAGCAACCTGACATCGGACTGTGCAGAATTCCTCTGTTGTGCTACTCACATGTGGGCAATCCTGACACACAAACAATTGCAATAAATATCATCAATACTTGAAAAGCTACATGTATGCCTAAACACAGGTACACTCAAGGAAAGCAACAATACATTTGATGAGGCCTATACAACTAGTGTGACTATTCAACGACCATTTCCAGATAGTCAACTAAATAGTGATGCAGTGACCAGTCAGACTGTGTCGCGACTTGTGTTTGGCACTCATAGCCTGCGCCTATGACTATTCACTCATGCCCATAACTACACAGTAGAAGATCGAGTCCCCGCACCGCATCAATGCGACAAAGCACTCGTGTTGCGCAACGCAGTACACGCTGGCAATGCACAACGTACCATGTTCATGTAATGTTTGTACACCAAGGTTCACTTGTAGTGAATTCCTTCATTTAGTTTCTTTGGCCCAAGAATGAGGCCAGGTGGTTATAAGTAAAAAGCCAAACTACAGTAGGTGAAACATTGTCCTATTCTCCATAACCCTTGGAGTGTAGCCCGTCCATAAAAGGCCTAGTGTGGACAACACACACACACACTCTCTCTTCTCACAACTGCGCTGAGGCAACGAGGTCCAATACGTCGGAGTGTCATCCTTCACAGCCGCATGGGCTTTGAAAACTGATTCGGTGGCATTTGCCCCTCATAGCCGACGGGTCCACGTAGCCAAGAAGCTACCTAGTCTGATCTACATCAGTTTGATGATAATATTTAATTTATAAGCTCGGCAGGTTAGAAGCAGTCTTTGTTTAATTTTGGTTAGGCCTTGGCAGCAGCAGGCCAGTCTTTATTTCAACTCAGCAGTTGCCAGTTATTTTGGTCCAAAAGTTCAATGAAATATAGCCTTCACTAAACACTTGACAGCTCACGCACACTGCAAACTGCGCATATACACACTGTGCCAGTATGTACTTGCATATGGATGGCTGGTCCAATCCAGGCATGACTGCTTGCACAGAGCACTGCGTGGGCCCAAGCTATCTACATCTTTTACATGATTCCTCCTTACTTGAAGATTATTGTTCATGAGCGGGGCCATCATCATGATATTTGCAATGTAGAATACATTGATAATCTCCAAACAAGTTTTGAGATAAACAGAAATCCACTATGTTGATTGTGTTCATTGTGATGTCACAAAAATTTCTAAAAGGAAAAGTCTACTTGGTCTCTTAAAGTTTCAAGAATTCCTTATTTTGTTTAGGAGATATGTTGACAAAAAGAATTAAATAAGAAAAATAACATAATATATAAAAATAAAGTGATGATGTCATGTCTATTTTCATCTATAACACACAGAACCTACATGTAGGTTGAACACAAAGTTACAGTACATTGAAACTGAAATTTAACCCTGTGAAAATGACTGGGAAAAATTGTGAAAAGAATTCCCATTCAAATTCACAGCTAATTTGCCACTCATGAAAAACAAATGTGAAAATTTCTCTCACTTGTGAATTTTGTGAAATGAATACTCAGTTTCCCAGATGGGAAAAAGTGTACAAAGTTTTCCCCCTTTTGAGGTTAACTTTCAATTGCAATGTACTGTCCATGTACATTTTATTCGGACTTGTAGTTTTGGAGATATTGACCTTCAATGAGGTTCAGTGCACATTTTCAGCTCAAATTCTATAATTGGTTTAAGGACTGAAAATTTAAAACTTTCCGCAGGCCGTCTTAAAAAATTTAAAGAGCACAATCAATGAGATGGGGGGAGTTTTAAAAAAAGGGGGGAAAAAGTAACATGTTTTTAAAGCGTACGCAACCAATTAACCCCTTCCCCCAGCACACGGTTTGTACATGTATGCTCATGAAAATGACAAAAATGGATGACCCCTTAGAGGTAGAAATACAGCACAGGTCAGAATTTTAGCCGACACCCTAACATGATCAGTGAACCTGACACACTGTTCAATACACGCTTTGCGGTTTTTACCGTGCATTGCTGGTCCAATGCACGATAACGCTGACCCGGACCTCATTATCTTGGCAGGGCTTGTGACCGCAGACCGTAAAGGTGACCAACAACGTGTAGTAAAGCACTGCACATGCAGAGCCGTCGCTACAGCCTTGTGTAAGTTTTTGGAGCGATTCAGACAAAAACCCAAAGTGTTGCCTGAAAAACACTTTATCTTTGAAAATGATTTTGTGATGCCTGCCACATACAGGGTAAACTACTGACCACATTTCGCTGGAATTTTAAGATAACTTGAGCTGCAGTCAAACTGAATACTTTTCATTGTGAGAAACTAGGAAAATGACTGCTCAGGTCAACAAAGGCCTGGCTGTTCTGGGGTTTGCATGTAGTGTGCATGTTTATACTCAGCAGATCAGATTGCAGTGTCAGCGTTCTCTATTATGCAGGGGTCAGCGTGTTTCGTGTTTGCTGGACTCGATAAACGCTGACACGTTGAGTGTGTCTGCATGTCGGCTAAAATTCTGACATGTAGGGTACTGTTACTTTCGTTATCCTTAATACATTTTTACCAATTTTTCCAACCAAACCAAAACAAAAAGCAAGGAAAGAATCAGCATAACTCACCAGTGACACAACATTGTTCGTCAGCTCTCCCTTGAAAAGGTCACACACCAAGTCATTCTTTCAGACAAACAAACAAAGGTGAGAGAAAATGAGATACGGGATTTAGACTTGGAGAAATGACTTCAAGACTGGAACTGCTCTAAACAATATCTGCAGCTAAAATTCTTACTGGTGTCAACTGTTACAATTTCAGGTTCATTTTTAAGACATTCTCCTCTAAATGATTATTCAGATTTAATGAAAAAGTTGACAGCCTGAACAAGAGCATTTGACTATACAGAAAAACCTATCTAATACTTTTTTTTTTAAGTTAGCAAGATTTCGATACATGTGTAAATGAGGTATAAGAGGCCCTCTCAGAATAAGTGAATTGTGCCAGATGTTTATGAAGACACTTCTCATAGTTCTTGCAAGTCTCAAAGCATACAGATCATTTTAGCATGTTTAGCAAGCTTAGCTGTCTTCTTGAAAAGTTTACAGCCTTTACACATTAAATTTCAAAAATTTCTCAAGTTCGTATTGTGTCTTTAGTTTAATCAATGGTGAAAAGCAGTAAACAAACTCAATATCAATTTTGTGGTTCTCTTTCCAATTGTTAGCCCACTTGATGTTGAGACATCATGCTCTGAAAAATTATGAAACAAAGGCAACATGCTGAAAGGCCAGAAGCATGTCCCAGGTTTATGGAATGAGCCAATCTCAAATTGAATTACATGTAGAAGTATGAATCACTGGCAACGTCAAACTAAATGCACATAAAAAGGCCCACCCCTGTTTGATGGAACAGTATTAAATTCCCAAATATCTATGACGATTTTTTTATTAGCATACCAATTGAGGTGTCATTTCCTCCATCTTGCTGATAAGGTCAGTGAAGAACTCAGTCATGTCTTTCTGCTCGCCAGTATTTAGGGGCTGCTTATCCATTGTGTACACCTTACAGAAACTGCGTGGGTTGTAGGCTTTTCTCTCACTGTCCTGTAGAAAAGCGAACATTCGCTGCAATTCCATCAAGATGCTGGCATGTTGAGTATCTTCTGTAATCTGTCATTTCAAGTCAAGAAAACAGTGTACATTACACCACATGCAAAACTGCTACAGTGGCTGTGAAGTTTTAGCATTAAGGCAAGTATTCACTGAAAGTTAAATACATTTTAAACTCCTGTCAAATATTAATTACAATATATTTCATGAAGCCCCATTTTGCTTTATGTCCACCTTCCTCAGACATATGAACAAGCCTTAAAAGTACCGAGATTCTTTAATAATTTACACCTTGGATTTCATTTCAAGCTTCTTATTCTTGCAAGTATCATAAAGTAATACTGTTTAGGAAAACACAACATCCCAGACAATGCCCATCCTGATGTATGTGTAACTTTTGCAACACTATTCAACGTCTGTCCACTACATGTCAATCAGCCAAAAACAGGTGTCTCTTACAGGAGTTTTCTAATAATGTACAAATATCGGCTCCGTGCTACAGATCAAAATTTCATCCCAAAACTTTATATTTTGAAGGTTTGTGCGGGCACAACCGACTGTGGCGACATTTATGATTAAACAGTCACATAAGATTTTGAAAATGAAACACACACCCTTGCACTGAGAATTGGAGCACGTGCTTCTGGCATCATGAACAGCTGCTGCATACATGAAGCCATGTAACATGTAGCGCCAAGGTTGGTCAATCCCACATAGCCACAGGATGATCTACCGTCATCTTGAGGCCAATATAACCATGGATATGGTCCATGTGTGCCTGGAAAAAGGACACAAACATTGCTATGAATTAAGAACATGGTAAGAGAGTATCACTTACTACAGCACAGCAAACTCATCAGGAAGGTACAATAAAAATGATATTCCAGTGCATATTCAGTAAACATAAAACTAGAGGTTGGTGTGGGAAACAGGACTTTTCCGTGATAGTCTACACAAATTTATAGGATGATGTTATCCTGACATCACTATACGAAACATATGCTTTATGAATCCCTAGGTAATATACAAAGTGTCAAGTGGATTTGACTTAAAATGATGTCTAAATAATGATTAGGAGGTCACTTCATATATGATCAGGAGTTTGGGTTTGACCTACTGAATCAATTTCATGTTGATCGGAACTTGTTTAGTATGTGAAACAAATATTGTACTTTATGATGGTGTCACCATGGTATCACAAATCTTTCCAAACCTGCATAGCTACATGTACAACCTGCAATGCTACATGTCTGGCCAAAAGAACTGAGGAACTAGATGGAATGCTACAAGCTGGCCAAAAGAACTGAGGAACTATGTGGAATGCTACAAGCTGGCCAAAAGAACTGAGGAACTAGATGGAATACTACAAGCTGGCCAAAAGAACAGAGGAACTAAATGCTACAAGCTGGCCAAAAGAACAGAGGAATTAAATGGAATGCTACACGTCTGGCCAAACGAACTGAGGAACTAGATGGAATGCTACACGTCTGGCCGAAAGAACTGATGGAATGCTTTATTCCATCAGTTCCTCCTCATCAGGAGACTGACTCAAATCGGATATAAGCATGGGTGGGTCAGGACCAGTAGGGGGTTCAAACGAAGCTAAGGAGACGGAGCAAAATCCCGCTGCCCGGTATGAGACACGGAAGGCACCGGGGTTGGGGAGTAAGGATCCCGATCAGGACGGGTAGCAGCCGCAGGATGAGAATAACATTGAATAAGTGCTGATATAGATTCTGTAAGAGCACGCAAGGTACCCTTGGTAGAAGGACAGCCCGACGATTTTTTGGCTTTCTTCTATAAGAGTGGTCGGAAGAAGTAGAGTGACGAGACGACTTGCTAAAGCTCAAGGGAAGTATCTTGGCCGGGAGAAGGAGCTTCAAGATTATCTTGCTGAACCCAAACGGGGGAAGGACAAGCTGATAAGGCATCCCCCTGAAGGGGATCAGCAACAGAGGAAGACCGTTAACCACAACCCCAAAGCAGGCCTGAAGGCTTGGCGCTTCTGGGCGAAAAGCGGACCGGTGAGACCGCATGGGCCCGACCCAGCCACTGAAGTGTGGGTAGAATCCCGACTGGGACTGGAACGGGCAGGAATCGAGCCGCTTTCTTCTTAGTCATGACGGTCAGGCAAGAAGCCATCGCAAAAAAACAACCAAACATGAAGGGTAAGAAAAGCACCTGGTGATATTCGTCCCATGAAGTCAAGCAAGTCATGCTCGGTCAAACCAGGGCATGGGGTGCTCGGAAGTTACAATCACTGTTAGTGGTGGAGCTCTGGCAGCAACCCCGAGCTACGTGTTGCGATGCATCAAAAGAGCAAAGCAGTTCCGGCTAAGGGCACTGAACCGCAGCAGGTTGCTAGCTGAGCAATGGCACTGTCAGGCAAACTGTGCAGGGAACGCTCTCTCAATAACGGCGGGTTGCTGTATATCAACAGTAACACCAGTCCAACCTGGACAGTAACCGTGAGTTGCGAATGGCTTGGAACCGGACCGAGCATCCACATGAAGAGTGCCAAGTCAAGCACTAAACTGCCCCGCGAAAAAGGGTGAACCCGCACACACTCCAACTGAAGCGGTGCAGAGACAGGCCAAGGGGATGCTCCAAGCTCGAAGAAGGCCCATAGGGAGAGACTTGCTCTCCCTGAAATAACCCTGCATAAAGCGGCGTTACCAGAGCGGACAGTAAGCAGAGCAGTGAGAGGCAATGGTAAGGCGTAAACTGCTTCTAGTTGCCCCAGCGCTCTCTCAAACGGTAGACTCGGCTACACTCCAGAAGGCAGTAGAGGAGCGAAGCAGGGTCGGTGGTGCCCATAGCTCAAAGATGGCCCGCAGGGAGAGCTATTGCTCTAAGGTTACCCTTATTCAGAAGCGTTACCAGAACGGACGTTAAGCTGAGCAGTAAGAGGCAATGGTGAGGCGTATAGTGCTGTGAGTCGCCTGAGGGCGCTCTCAAGTGGCAGACTCTGCTATGCTCCAGAAGACAGTACGGAAGTGTAGATGGGCCAGTGACATTCAAAGCTCGGAGAAGGCCCGTAGGCCAAGAGTTCGCACGTAGCCCTAGTTGTGGGCGTGGTGAATGCGAATTGCAAGCAAAACTTGATGCTGGAAGAGCGAACTCGAGTGCTCGACAGTACAATACTGGAGCAAATAAGGGTATCGCATGGTCGCACCCCAAACAAGCGATAGGGAATAGTAACCAAACACACTGTTCTATTCCCTCAGCCTGAAAGGACCGAAACTACTGAACCACTGTCCTACTGAGCTGAACGATCCCTGGCTTGCAACACCAGCAAAATTGAAGTGGGGTGGTAGCAAAACTCTCCTCAAATTGGAATCTGATGCAAAAAATAAGGGGACAAAGAAAAGCAACATGCCCACCAACCAAGATATATAGAAGGTAGGCAAAGAGACCAAACCAATTAAGCTTCAACAACTATGTACAAAATAGAAGAAACCGACTGGCAACAACCACCTAGAAATGAGGCCCAACAGGAAAAACTTGGCGTGTCCCAAGAAGCAAACAGTCTAACAATTGCAACACAAGCTGAACAAATGGCCTGAAAAATGACCCGAAAATCAGCAATACAGGAACAGTCTTACCATTAAGAACAAATAGGAGTAGAATATGAGGAATAACTGATAATAACTGGTACTGTTTGGTATCGGAAAGAGGACGTACAAAGTTTGGCCTGGCCGTCACATTGTGTGTTTGTAGAAGAAAAAAAAAAAAAACCAGAAAAATCGGCACTTGCAAAAAGAAAAATACGAGGAAAATCTGGCCCATCGATAGCAATAAGCAATTCTGAGAACATCCACTGGTCACATAGGACTTCGGCATGTTCACTATTTCGAACAATCCACCAAAACACAAAGTCATGTCGGAAAAAAGCAATGTATATTCCTTAGTAACACAACTCCACACACACACACGTGTGTACACAACACGACTTGGCCGTTACCGAGTAACACCATGATGTTTAGGAGTCAGAGGAATATCATTGCATACATTAAATACGAACGTAAGTTTTGCAAAAGATACAGCTGAATCGTGAATCATCGAATTCAACTTTGATTTTATTACACAAAAAGAAACCTCATGCCATAAAACAGTGTTCTGACGTTAAGGTTAAGGTCATAAAATGAACCAAACACAAAAACTTCAACTTTGTTAGAGGTGCTTTTTAAGCTATAACCTAACCCATACATACCTGGAGAATGTTGTTCCAGCATCAGTCTGTGCAAGCAGTTGTAATTATCCTGGCAACCTTTGGTCAGTTCAATCAGAAGATCAAACCCTGCAAGCCTACTGCCCTTGGATTTACATTTGGGCAAACTGCGCTCTTCCATGTTAGGCACGGCAAAAAGACACTCAAATACACCAGTCAGAAAAACCTATGAGCGAACAGAAGGATTTTATAAGAGAATTGAGACTTTATGGTACAGTAGGGGCAAGAAAGTTGGGAACATGTTCAAACTTGATTGAAGCTGCCAGAATTATTTCAGTATAGGGCAATCTGATTCAAATCGTCATTTATTTGACACACCCATTGATGACAAGTCAAGACAGTACATGATGGACATCATTCTATTTAAGTTCAAAACAAAATGAAATCACTTGAACATGTATTTATTTTGAAAATTTTCCACGATGAAAACGTTTCTGCGGAATGCTGCTGGGCATCAGAATTACACCAACAGCACATTGATATGCATGTACGTATACACGTGCAGATGAGAATCTTTAGCTTGTCTAAAGGTAATTGTGCTTCAGATGTTATGCACACAGAGCTTTTCAAAATTAGGTTACCATGCTATTGTCCTTTAAGTTTTGAGGCAGATAGTAAATTAGTATAAAAAGCTTGTTACACAGTGGATTTCATTTGTTTTTAGTGAGATACACACATGTATATGACTATTGCATTCAAATTCAGTCAGTTTGCTGCAATTTTGTCTCGTGCAACTGGTCATGGTGGAAATAAAAAAGCAATTCATGTGTGTCATCCATTTTAAAGGTTTGGATATTTGTTAGGGTGAAAATATGTTTATTTTCTCTATATACTTTATATGTTTCTATTTATTTAAGCAAAAAAAGTCAGTCTAGAATATTTCTATGCTGTGCTCTTTTAACGCTTTTATTTTCTAGTTAAGAGTACGGCATTGTTCTTTGTTCCACTTTATTACTCGACAAATGATGACCAGTCACAATATAGACTATTTAGAGGTATCTTCATCCTATCTCTCCCTAGGCCATACCTCTGGGTACATGTACATGTAGGTAACATATCCTCCTCCAACTCATGAATATAAATAACAAGTGCATTAAAATGCATGACAAAACTCACATTTGGTTTCTCAATAACACCTTGACCAGCAACACACAACAAAATAACTGCAGAAATTAATGATCTACGGTAGAGTGCTATAATCATGAACTTCACAGTAAACAAAATGAAATCCTGTAATGAACATTCAAAAATCAAGTTCAATATTTAAGCCAAATGAAGTTTTGGTTGATATTGAGGTATCTTTCCATCTAATATGCATGACGTGCAACGATTATTAATTTAACCATAAAAATCTACCAGTACATGAATATAGTTAAATGTTATCAGTCTTAAGAGGACACTGATCATTGCTAGATACAAACTGCATCACTATGATCATAAAATGGACCCACTGTTTCATCGATATATATAGCATCATTATCAACACAACTATTCATTCTCTAGAGCAAAACATGTTCTGTTCCTACCTGTCCGTCTTTGCTGAATTTAAATGGTGGGTTGTGCTTCATGACAGCAGAGCATAGCTTGAGTAGACCAGTAAGAGCAACATCCTCTGTTGTGTTGTGCCTTTCTTCAGAAACAGGCCGACTACAAAAGGAAAAGAACCATACTCATAGTATCGCATAGTCCATTTAAGGAGATTCTTAGGACAACTTGTATGAGGATATACCACAAAATGGATGGGCCTGTTCAGGAAAATGGAAGTCAAATTCTAGAACAAAATCGTTGGAAATCCATCATATATTGACTTCTTTAGACTCTTTGAATAAAAAGCTATTTATGAATGGGAATAAACATGTGCCGGTATTAAACGTTAGTTAGCAAAGCACACATTTATTCCCTTATTACAGCAGAAAAGCCTTGCTTTCTGAGCAGATGTGAAGTCTAGTTTCTTTTAGTTTGCATAAGAAAAGCACACAGGGCTTGTTGCTTTGATATACATGTATCACTCGTTTGTTGGCATCCAAATGAAAATGAACATGGACAAAAAATGCCCAGCATTCCTATCGATTTACACTGTGCATGATTATTTTAGTGGCCTTTAATGCCAAAGAGCTCTGATGAGTTACGATTCATTTTGTTAGGTTGGGTCACAGTTATAATTGGTCCAACTTTCAATCAGTAAATAGATAAATGGAAAACTGCAATGATGCACACCTATGAATCCCTTCAGCAAGATGCCTAGCAATGGTGTTGATATTGATGACCTTCTTTTCCTGATCTAGGGCTGGAGTTTTCTCGCTGTCAGTTCCTGAGGACCAATCATGTTGTCTGTCAATGTTATCCATGATAGAACACAACAGCCAGAAGTAGTTCCGACAGCCAGGACCATAGTCATCCATGGTCTTCTTGTAATCCTGAAGGAGCTGGAAACAAGAGTACATACCAGTAGGTTAGGAAACAAACAGGTGTTTGGATGTGGATCTGTCATTACAGTTACTTGAAAGACATCTCAAACTCCAAACACATTCATAAAATGTTCCACATCCAGGTGGAAAGTCTTGAGGCACACCTGCCAAGTAAGTGTAGAAGCTCTTGGTTTGCATACATCAGTTTGTGCTCTGTAGCCTTAAATTGCAGTATTTGAGGATGCTTGGTGGCAGCATGCACACAAGCCTGTTTTAAGTTGTTGCATCATCTCTAAACTTCAGTGCATATGTTTAAAATGACACAAATAACAAGAAAGGACCGCTGTGCTTACTGCCTATGGGCATTTCCAAAATGTTTCTACATGTACATGACAATGTTGCTACTTCAATGACAATGCATACAAAATTACAGGATTTAAAGATCTCTGACTTGAACAGATACAACCAAGCTCGTTTTAAATAGGACGTGAGGAAAAAACAGACATTTTTTTGTATTTTTTTAAATTTTTTAAAAATTGTTTTATTATTGTTTTTTAGTGTAAAACCCTCGATAAGTATGACATCACAAATTCTAATGTTTGGTGTCATCCTATTTGATGCATGAGGTAAAAGATAAATACACAAAATGTGCATAAACCACATATGAATGTACTTGTTTTTTATTAACTCTAACCTTCTTCGGATGTATACTCTGTGCCAATGACAGAAAGCTGAGCAAACTAGCAAGCAGAGCCCATGAGAAATGTTGACACTGTCGACTGCTGCCTTCACACAATCTATACAAAGCATCACATACCTCTCGCCTCACATATACCTGGTGGAGAAATCAAGACAAATAGTTTCTCATTATCATTCATCCAACATGGTAGCCCTGAAGACTTGAGACCCACATTCAAGTCATCTGGATGGTACAGTTAACTCTTTATTGCCTAACTAACATATAGAGCCATGTTAGTGATCCCCAAACTCAGGATGTCCCAATGATGTCCCAGCCTAGTGGTTAAGTAAGGGTACGGCCTCCAAATTCAGTTACTCAGCACACTGCAGCGCAATGCTGCGCCTTAGCGGCAGTTTATTTGGCCCTCTGTAAATCTCAGTGAGGGCAGCTCAGGCCACAGCTTCATTTTGGATTGGTTATTGTGTTGGCGGCATTGTTATGTTAATACAGCTCGCCCCAGCAGACGTTGAGAATGAGTTATCAGTGCCACGTGGCCGCCCTAGAAAATTACCTTGTTCAACAACAAAAGCTACTGAATTCCCAAGGAACAAAAGCAGTTCACCTCTTTTTCAAGAACAGGGAAGGTTCGATGCCAGTATGGCTTCATACAAACTAGAACTACCTTTGTTTCTTCATGAAGAAAAAGTAAAGTTGCAAAAAGCTTTGTGTTTAAATATGTAGGTCCAGTTTATTTTTTCACTAACCAAGAAGTTTTACTGAACTCATATTCGAAACAAACGGAATAATTATTTTTTATTATCCCTCAGGTCTCAAATTTTACAACGGCCCTTAAAATTAGTCAATTGGTGACGATGTGCCCCATCCTTCTTAGCAGTGGTAGCCCTCGAAATACTATAAATGTTTACCTTGTGTTTCTGACCTCAATGCAAAGAATTATCATGGTCCAGCCAAAGCTGGCGTTTGAAAAGCTCAGAAAATTTTACGAACAGTGCTGGCCATTTTGTGTGCTAATAAGAATATTTTGGATGCTAACACTTATGAACTGTAGCCTTTGATCAAGGCACCGCCTTGGACAGTCGCTCTAGAGCAAGGAGCTGGAGGAGACTAGTTTCAGCACCAAACCAACACATGAAGAAAGACTACATGACGAATCACATGCACGCCCAAAATAAACTATGCACATGCAGTAGCCGAGCTGTATGTGTCGTGGACTGTGCACGCTGCCGCAAGCACCTTTGGAGTTTTGTTTCCAGTGGTTTATCTGAATTATTCAACATGATGTTTACTAATTATTCACATTTCTCTGAACCAATCGTGTTTTGGGGGCTAAGTAGGCTTAGCATATCTAGGCTACTTACGTTCATGAAGTCTTTACACAATGGTGTGGCCTAGTATATGAAACTTTTGCTATGTCCAGTTGGAAGATTGACAAATACGTCTTGACCCTCCAGAACAGCCTTCACGGCCAACATTTACTGTTGTTTCAATTTGTCGATCGGAATCCCAAGCTTCGGTGCTGCATTGTCGTCTAGAGCTGACACCATTGCTGGAAAAGACGCCATATTGAATATGCACGTCCATTGCAACATACATGCATGATGTAATCCAATGACAGAGGCGATCATTTTGATTAGTGGAGACTTAAGCATGCGCATATATATAATCTGCTACCGAAACAGTAGTAAATGTAAAGAAAAACATAAGCTACGTTGGGCAAAACTCCAAAGGCGTGCGGGGCGTGCATGCAGTTCGTTTTGTAGTCTTTCTTCATGCGTTGGTTTGGTGCTTAAACTAGTCTCCGCAAGCTTCTCGCTCTTGAGCGACAATCTATTTCGCTGTGGGCGCCTTGATCAAAGGCTAAATGAACTGTGGCTTGCACAGTTTTCCTAACCAACAAAGAAACCTATCCATCATATTTTGCTTGATTCCCAGGTTTTCAGTTTCTACAACTCAACCAACTCCTCATTATATTTCTATTTGTAGTACCGGTGTATGCCACTATGTTACTTTTTAAATCTCATTTTGTTTAGCCATTCATATAACAAATCAATATACATTATATTTTCCTCAAACGTGCCGATGGTTTCTCCTTGCTAATTGGTAGTTGTTAACATTCCATCTTCTCCTCTGTCCTGTATTACTGAAATTCAGTTTAGTTTCTGCCTGTATTACGTCCAACATTATTTGGGTGCATCCACATGTAACTGAATACTAGAACAGTTTTGATGTGTCTATGTTATGCCAGCAGCTAGATGTACATGTAACTCATGGCATCCACCTTCCCTTTTGTACACAAAAATACAGCACAGCAAACCACTAATGCAATGGTACATGTATAGTGGTGGCATTGCAGTTCTTCAAATTTCTACTCATTTTGAAATGCAAACTACCATCAGCGTGATCTGCTTACCTCACTTGTCTGAAGTACAAGTCTCTGTAGCCATTTGTCAAAGAGATGGTTCTGGCAGAGTGCCACTCTGACTTCTGGGTCAGTGTATGCCCACGAAACTAGCAGCTTCAATGCACAGTGGATGACTGGACAAAAGAATTGTATTTAAAATGTACCTGTAGTGACATGGGTTCAACTTGTTTTCAAAATCACATGAACAACAGTCTGCTGGATTTGATAAAAATTACATCAACAACTGAAAAAAATGTAAAGGGGAAAATTTGATTTAAACCTGTTAACTCTTTGACAAGAGTGTGATGACTATGGTCTTTTTTCAGCCAACATTTCAAGCAAGTTGCAATAAATTAGTTGAAACACAATGGTAGCACCAGAGCACAAATTTTGCCACTATGACCACTGAACCACTTCAACTTGAAATACAGTCATATACATACATGTATTCCAGAAACATCTTTTTTTTACCTCAGTGATCCTGTCCTTTGACTAAAGTCACAACAAGCAAGCTTTTACCAGAAAAAAGATGGTTAATTTGGTTCCATCTAAAAATATAGCTTGGCCAAAACTTGTTCCCAGGTTGTTTTCTTTCTCGGTGACATTGAGCTTGATCTTCTGATCCAAAATCAATGGAAAGGGCATATCTTCCTTAACATTCAGGATTCAAAGGGGTACAACCACATCTAATCAGCTCAGAGTACTGCAGGGTAAAACTTATCTCGTGAAAGAGTGTGCAGTTTAGTTGCTGTTCCTACTTACCCCAGTAACCAGCTCGAACCTTAACAGTATCTGACGGAGCAGCTGCTTCGTACAACACAGCCATTAATCTGTCTAAGACTCCCTGTCCAGACATTAACTCAAGGAGTTGCTGAAAGAGAATATGTAATGTGGAGAACTTCAAAGATGCTTCAAAGACAGTCTGGCTGCAGGTTCCATTTAATCTTATTTGTCTATCTTTAATGTATACCCACATATCTTAGAAACATATCAATCACAACTGCTATCAAACTAAAGTCATGAAATTGGGCACAAATTTGTGTAATGCTTCACTTTTTGTTAAAGGTGAATTCATACAAATAGATGGGCATAATCAAACATTATCTTTGAGAAAAAAGTGAAATATTACCCAATGGTTTGAACTTCCTCAATACAAGCCTTTTTTTTAAAGAAATGTAGCCTTATATACCTAAATAAAAGCCAGTGATGTTTTCCTTTTGACAATGAGTCTGACTGTGACCATCATCTACAGGGATAGGTGTCACTTTACTTCATAATACTGCACAGAATACACATATTTCAAGCGATAAACATAAATTTGATTTGCTTTTGCATTTTGCCAGTCCCTTTTACCAAAAGGCATATTTAGTATTAAACGCATTCCTACTATTTGCAGATACTATTGCTCAAGAAATAACATAGATCGACTTTCCTCTTTCCAGTTAATTTCACTTTCCAGCCAATTTGTAGGCTACACAATAGCTTCACATAATTATATGGTTTGTCTAAATCCAAGTTAGACAAATGATAACATTTCTACAAAACAGTAGAAATCAAATCAGTTAACACTGATGCCTACAGGTATGCAGATAAACGTACCTTTGATAGTTTTGTTGTGATACCTCCGAAATCTGTGCTGTTCTGTTTTGTTCTGTGTGGGTATTTATGGGCTACCTCCTCACTGGAGGAATGAGCCTCAAACACATCATCCTGTCCTTGGTCTAAGGCAGTCTGCTCAATGGCAAACTCATTGATCAGTTTCAGGATACAAGCCAGGCAGTCCTGTTGCCACTTTTCAGAAGAAAGACATGGAAATCAGTTTAATATTGTCAAACATATTTGACACACTTCGGGAGGTTGCAGCCAGGAAATATGCTACCAGGTACACTGGATTTTAACTTTTTAACTATGCTCTTCAATGTTACAATGCCAAAACACTTAACCACTAGCAGTAGGAAATACAAAAGCAATATTTCTTTCAAGCACATAGAACATTGATTACTTTATTGCAGGAAATAAATGGTGGATAACATTGTGAGAGATGTTCTGACCATTTACTATATCTCCAAGGAAAAAGTTAGCCTGTTCAGTAAAACTGCCCCATGGACCCACATGCATGTACACTGGCGAGTGAAAGTTTGCCCGCACCCATAAAAAACGTTATGTGCTGTCAGTTTTCAAATAAAACATACTGATTAAATCAAGCAAACAACTCCAGTGTTTACAATAATATGTATTACTTTATATAAATTCACTTACGCTAGAAAAATTAGGTGTTTGGGGTCCCCTGGGTAATTAAAATGACGTTTAATCTTCTGTAACTACACAAAGTAAATGTAAAATCCAATATGGCGGCGCCCATGCAACGGAAAAGCCACGATGAGTGAATCAATGATTCAGTATCGCGTATAAGCCCCACCAGCATCAATGACTGCTTGGCATTGTTGGCCCATGGAACCCAATAAATTTGCCAGGATCTGAGGATCCAAG